ATCATATAAAAATAAACCTAGAATTAGCCGCACGATTCAAATTTAATAGCCAGATTTCCAGGTTTTTGATTTTTTTGTTGAAATAATTTTGTAGTCGTAGGAAAACTATTGTACATTACTTATGTAAAAGTGATTTTTTTATACAAAAGCTAAGTGCGACAATAAATAAACTGGTTTTTTTTAAAGGACAATGAAACATTTAAAAAAATAATTTTTACTATTGTAATGTATAGGGGTACGGCCTCCGAGTTGAACTTGGACTACACTTTGTTTGTACCCTAAAATAATTTAAAATTTAAACATGCCTGGAGCGAGCTGTAAATTTGTTGTTTATACAAACAAAAGTCATCAGAAGAAAGGGACTAAACCTAAACTGAAAGTAGAGGCTTATAGTAAGATTTTAGAATATTTATCTGCAATTATCATTTACAATTATTGTAAGTAATAGCAGCTTCGTCCACCCTATATTTAAAAGCAGATGAGATAATTTCTTACAAGTATTAAACTCAGCCAAGAGCACAAACAGTCAAAGGGCTTTACTTAAAGAAGATACATTATTGAAAAAATTTGCTACAAAAAGTTACAAATAATATTAATCAGGAAAACAAGGGCGTGTTGGAATTCAGAACAAACATGCTATGTATAATAATTATATCGGAAATAAAAAATATATTTTTTTAGTTTCTAGTTATTTTATATATGAACAGAATAATGTACATAAAAAAAATAAAGAACCAACCCAGTTGTATTATATAATAAATAATCTACAAAAAGGTACCCAATAACAAAAAAACATTTTTATTATCTATTGTGTTTATATAAATTAAAAAAGGTAAACGAATAAAACAACTTGATTTTATTATGTGATGATTCGCGTCCGAATGTTAGCTATAAAATCTTCCTTATAATGTGCATATACTCAAAAACAAAATAAAGCAACCTAGTTTTAATATATCATTCGCGTACGAATGTCATCTTAAAATTAAAAGGAACAATTCATACATGGACAGTTTTAACAGTGATCTGATATTTTCTAAAACACATATTTTTGTAAATGGTCGCTTTTTGGGGAACAAAACAATGATATATTTTCTTTTGATGATTTTTGTTTGTAAAAATTGTGTTTTCGAACAGCAACCCTACTTCTCGCTGCAGGCATGCTACAATTTTAAATTATTTTAGCGAATAAACAAAATATGGTCCGAGTTTGGCTCGGAGGCCATATCCTAACCCGAAATATTTTAAATAAACTACTCACGCAATAATATTACATTTTACATTTCAAATAAAAAGTAATTTGTCTTTTGAAAAATTAAAATACCGATATTATAAGAACTCTAACACAGGAAAATAGTCCAAAAATTAAAATACAAACACTATTAAATAATAATAAAATATTAGTTTAAAAAAAAAAACTAATGTGCGAACTGCAGCAGAATATTTTGGGATTTTTCATTCTGTGACGTCACCTCTCCGTCCCTCGTGTCAATCATAACCTTAATCCAGTATGTCAATCAATGGTTAGTTAATTATTATGCTTTACAATAGAATAATATAAAATAAACTTTCAGAATTTACTTATAATAATCAAATGCTACCGTTTATTTCAAATCTAGAATCCCAAGCTTAGCCTCTGGGGAAAGTAATATTGGTCTTGGTTTGAATAAATTTGGAAAAATAAATTTACCACGGCAAATGTTTAAAAAACATCTATTTTGCGTAATAAAAACAAAATTTATTTTGAAATAGCTCATTCGTAATAATGGAACAACATTTATTCTGGGATCGCTTATTCTAATATGAAAAAGTCTTTCGACTTCAAAAAGAAAAAAAAATTCGTGTGACACTCGGGGACTGCCGCGGTAAAGCTATTGCATAGCATTTTTTATCAACTTATGCAATTATAATTATTTATTTATTTTATTTATGCAGTATTTTTTTTTCTTTGATATTAATTCAAGTTACACTTTTTGAGCATGGTGACCGATAAGAAAATAATTTTTTTCTTTTATTGAATAAATGAGAAGTTAATATTGTTGTAATATTGTTGTAATATATTTCCTATTTGTTTATCTTTTTGAATTTAAATAAACGAAGTCTCCACTGGTAGCTTGCATTTTTAAAATTAGCTGAACTTGAATGAACCTCGTTCGCCACTATGCATTGAATAAGTATATACTTTTTAAAAACTAAACATTTTAAATTACCAAGACTGTGAAATAATAAAACAATAATAATTTTACTTTTTTTTTAAGGAAACAAAAAAAAAAAAAAAAACTAAAAGTTTCGCGGCCCGAACCACCAACTTTGCTATCCACACTATCCAAATTTTGACCACTGTACGGTCTGCGCCACCGATCACATCTTGATATAAGTTTGGAATCGTTCATACTAATTTGATTACAAATATTTTTAATTAAACAAAAACAAATTGGAAATAACATTTTATCATGTCAAATGATACCTACATTGTAATTTAATGGAATCAAATAAATATATGATTTAAAAACTATGAAAGTATAATTATTACTTAACTTCTAGTTCTTGTATTGCATAAACGTTCCAGTCTGCAGACGTATACTTAACTCCGCTTCATAATAATACGAATAGGGTCAGATTGGGATAAAACCTTCCACGGCATTCAACGCTGCACCGCTGTGCCGGTCGGAGTGGGGGTGTATTTTCGTTACGGTCGTTACGGAAATTTCTTGATTCGGTCGCCGCACTCAAAGCCCGCGATAAAAGCTATGCAATAGCTTAAAACTAAAAAAAAATTAAGAATGTTTTTCATTGAAACATGACGCACATATTTGCGGTTATGCGGGGCGCATATTCAGATGTAACTGTTGAGATATCCAGTCGACTTATGCCGAATATCGCTTCATATGTAACGTGCACGACAGCACTCAATCGGATATCTAGACTGTTACATATCAAGCATTTTTGCTGTAACATCTTAACCACTATTGTTTTGGCGCGTAAGTCATTAGTTTACTATGTGAGGTTATAAAACATGCATTAATTCTTTCAATTCAGAGACTCGCTAGGGGGGGTTCATGTTAAAAAATGGTATATAAATAAGTAAAAAATTATTTAAAAAAATAATGATATTTTGCTGTAAGGAAAGTTTGAGTCGATAATAAACAGTAAGTTGTTTATAAAAAATTTATTATTTTTTTCAAAAACGCGAAATGCAGTGGCTTACTTAATGAAATTACAAATAAAAGCGCATCTTTTAGGAGTAACATGCCTATTAATATTTAAGTTACTGTTTAAAATATTTGCAACAATACAGAGGATACCACATAATATTACAGGGGACACATAGTATAGTGGCGTAGAATATTAATTAAAATGCAATAAGTAGTTCAGTGTTGATTAAATATAGATTAATAAAAATGCAGTACAGTTTTTACTTGAGAAGTCAACAATGGTTAAAAATAGTACACATAGAAAATGTTTGATTTTTGTTTCAGAAACTTGTAGAAGAATTACAAACTATCAGTAGAGTAATATGGTCAATAGAAAAGACAATTCAAAAGGAAAACGCAAGAAACAATCTGTTTAAGCGAATTTATTATTGTCACTTTAATACAAGACGAAGAAAAAATACCAAGGATTTAAAGAAAAGAAGCTCAAAAAACATCAATTGTCCAGCAAAATTAATTTTAACTTTAAAGAAAATCATTCCTGTGTCCAAGTCTAAAGCCAACAATTCATTGAATAAAGTCGACAAAGAATATCCTTGTTTATTAGAATTTCGGAACAATCACAATCATAGATCCGATGTGGGATAAGCTCTACGTACCAGACCTTTGGGAGAAGATACAAAAAAGGCTATACTTGAGTTATTTCAAAGAGGGCATTCTGTAGCATCCGTTTATCACACGTATTGCACCACGAAAATGGAAGAATTGGGTAATGAGTATAGCGATAAAATAAGCGATCGTCATTATTTCCCGACAAAAACCGATGTGCGAACACTCTGGACTAGTAACTTCAGACAGCAATATGGCGAGCGCAGTGGTCCAGAAATGTTAAAGAAGTTGGAAGATGTGTTACTGTAGGAAAATGAAAAAAATGGGACATTGTTCAAAGTATGTACTCTCGGCGAAAATCATTCCATTGCAATAAGTACCCCCATAATGCAAAGAGCTTTAAAATTACCTCAAGCGTCGGAAATCATATTTGTAGACGCAACAGGAAATTATGATGTTCAGGATCACAAAGTTTATTTTTTTGTCACACAGTCTCCTGTTGGAGGTTTACCGATTGGGTGTATAATAAGTAGTAATAAAAAAAAAGAAATATTTCAAGAAGCGGTACAAGCTCTGCTATATATATCTCCCGTTAAAATACAACCATCTGTCATAATGGCAGATGACGACTTAGGTGAAAGATACGTCCTACAGCAATGTTTCCCACGTTCGAAAATGCTCTTATGTACATTTCATGTCTTAAAAGCATGTTGGCGTTGGCTTACTACTGCAAAAAATGGAGTTCCGAAAACGCACAATCAACGTTATTACCAGTTATTCCGAATTATTTTATATTCAGACTCGAAAGATAAGCTTGATGCAGCAAAGAAATTATTAAATGAACAATCTCAACATCTTAACTTTCTTAAATATGTAGAGAACATGTATTTGCGAACTGAGACTTGGTGTTTGTTTTATAGACGTAATTTGTTACTGCGCGGTTCAGACACAAATAATTATACGGAGGTAATGTTCCGATTACTGAAGGATATACCTTTAGAACGTACGAAGGCATTTAATCTTACCCAATTAGCTGATTCCATATGTACTGGATTTGAAAGATATTATCAACAACGAATTCTTGATATTGTCTTTAAACGTGAAAGTAAAGCAATTCAAGAGAGATATCTGCCAAAACAGTTAGTGGAAAATGCGAACCTAAAAGACATAGGAAATCATCAATATGAAGTTGTAAGTTTTTCTAAGCCTGAGATCATTTATCACATAGATATGATAACATGCATGTGTAGTTGTCCAGTTGGATATAACGGGAAACACTGCAAACATCAGGCTGCAGTAATTTCAAAATTTCGCATTTTAAAGACAATAAATACTCTAACCCTCGAAAATAAAATATTGTTTTATCAAATTGCTACCGGCAAAGAACCGAAAAAGACATTATTTTGTCCACTACAGTCACCTGGAACTATAGAGACCTGTTTTACACCAGAAGTAATTAGTCCCAATGAAGTGGATCCTTCTACGATAGAACCAGAGCCACTGCAAGAAATTAACGCGGTAAAAAACTTGGCCTCGGATATTGAAGCAACAAAGACTGCTTGGTTGGAATACAGTAATACAATTTTGCAGCATCTTAAAAATTATCCGGAACAATTCTTACCAGCTGTCAATCGACATTTGGGTAATTTCAAAAAATATACTATTTCTGTACCATCTTTATTATCAGGTATGTACACATTATATAAGTACAAAGGATTGAATAAAATTTTACAATATAAGACAATGTACCCTAACAATTCATATCGGGAAATGTTTAAAAAATGTCCTAATGCCAAAATTGATTTTTTGTAATTCGATTGAATTTAACTGATACCTAACTTATTTGTTGATTATATGTAACAGTCACAACGTCCGACTAAATGCTATCGTGCACGTCACATATGAATAAACGTTCGACAGAGCCGAATGGACATCTTGCGTCGATCATATTTGAGAGACATGGCCCCCAGCTTAAATATTTTAACTTTTTTTGCCTCGGGGCCCGTCGCGCATATATGAGAGACACAGAAAAAGTGAATAAAAAAATAGCTAAAAACTTCAAAAAAAAAAAACACGGAATTATCAAAAAAACCTTTATTTTGAGTAAATACATACAAATATTGCAAAAATGTAGTTTGGTCCCTTAGGCTATTTCTACTTTTCCAATTAAAAATAGGTGAAATCTTTGCGTGCTAGAGCCCGTTAGGTAACGTTACGTATGTACGGGCATTTTTTATTCAGTAGTTTTACCCCATTCACCATAAATTATACTATTTTGACGTTATTTTCACGAAAACCCGTGGTGTATAAAAGTCTCGAATATTTTTTTTCCATAAACTTGTTTTTTAATTATTGTTTGCAATATGTCTAACCCTTAAATGCTTTTATACTATTAGTTGTATCAGACGATAAATTATTATAATATATTTTTCTTTTCTTTACTAATTCTCAATTTGTATATATTATCTACAATTAATAAATTACCGAAGTTTTTAAAAACAATCTATAATCTTAATTGTTATTAAACTCCATCGTTAATACAAAGTTAAAAATATAGGTGATTTTAAAACAACGATAGTTAAATGATTGTCGTAACATACCCTAATATTAGGCACTTAGAATCGGAGTATGAATCTTCCTATCTCAACTAGTTAAGTTTCCATAATTCTTTAAATAATTATATTAGAACTCTAAATAACATTACTGCCAGAAGCTTCAGATTTTATGAGAATATGGGATCCACAGTTACACCAGTTAGACACTAATTATGGTAATTAGACCTATGCCTGAAACCGAATATTTACATATAAGCTCCTAAACTTTAATAATTATTATTAGAATATACGAGTACACTAAAAAGCATATGCGAGAGTAAATCTGATTTTTTTTTTCGATCTTTTAAAAATGCTTAAATAGTTGAATCAATTTTATTTTGATTGTAAAGAGTGAGACTCGTAATTTGATTTTAGGGTTTGACTATTTTTAAAATGTCCTTTGATTCTGTAAATCACCAAGTTGGAGATGCGTGGCAAAGCATATTACTGGTTCTGGTCCTATGTTTTAAATAGGACACAACTGGTTTATTTTAAATAAAAAACCATTTTGCTGAGTATTTCACCTGGGTATTCGACCCAATTTTATTCAGATTGTATCTTACCGATTTATCAATTTTTTTTACAAATAATTTTGCCGATGATATAAATGTCTTACTAACCGAAAACCATTACAAAGTACTTGAAAAATATATCTTAAATACTGTAGAGATAATTTCAAAATGGTTTGGTAAAATCTCGTTATTATAAAAAAATTTTGAAACTAATTATTTTACTGTCCTAATAGAAATGAATATTCACAGAATATAACTTATGTTATACAGTTTTTTTTCCTAGGCTCGTCTGACTATGTGTCTCCGAATAACACTGAAGCCTATTGGCTTATTGTGTTTTACCCCATGTTAGTTCATAGCACCCACTCTATCACCTTTGTACCTTGTACAAGTTTGTACAGATCCTTGGGTGAGTGGGTTCTATACGTTGTTGGATCAACCTGGGGTTGTCCAAAAAGAGCCTGTCTTTTGCGATCTAGAGCTTCGCATTCGCACAGTATGTGTTTGGCCGTTTCTGGTTTCTTGTGACATAGTCGGCACATGAGTTCCCCATTGTACATGTCAATTTTGTTCAAGTGTCCCTTTACTGGGGCGTGCCCAGTCATGAACCCTGTTATCACTTTCAACTGGTTCCTATTCATTATGCGTAGTTCTCCAGTTCTTTTGGGACATGGTCTGCCTATGAAGGCTTTTCCATGTGCCTGTTTTGGGGTGCTTCCCCAATAGTTGATATGTTGTTCCCGAATCCAGTAATTTATAAAACCCCGGACTGTACTTTTTGGTACTCCTGGGTTTGTGTCTGGTTCCGGTGTTTCTTCTGACCCTCTTTTTGCAAGTTCGTCAGCCTTTTCGTTGCCTTCGATCCCTTTGTGACCTGGCACCCAAAATAGTTTTACTCTATTTCGGTCTGCCAGTGTTCTTAGTTCTTCGATGCATTCCCATACCAGGCTCGACGTAACTTTCTGACTCGATATGGCCTTAAGTGCCGCTTGGCTGTCTGACATTATTTGCATATGCTGATTTTCGACAGCTCTTTCATTGTTTGTTTTTGCACATTGCAAAATTGCGTATACCTCGGACTGAAATACCACGGAATGTACTCCTATAGCATAGCTATGGTTAGTATCAGGGTTTTTGGAGAATACTCCTGCCCCAGTGCCTTCCGCAGTCTTAGACCCATCTGTATACCAGGTTTGTTCCTGTCATTGGGCATTGGGCTCCCTTATGGTGATTATCCGCTCTTTCCTGTATTAAAACCTCAAAGGGAGTATTAAAAGAGTACCTCTTGGTTATGTGGTCTGATCTCATGTCTAGCACGTCTCCTGTCACTAACCTTGAGATACTCATGTGACCTGGCCTAATGTCAAGATTTACCAGTGTATTCCCTAATCTGTAAGCACCTAATCTTGTCTCCCCTTGTATCACATAGTGAAGAGGTGGGAGTCCTATAAGTGCTTCCATTGCAGCAGTGGGGGTTGTTTTCATTGCCCCCGTTATTCCGAGGCAGGCAAGTCTTTGTACCTTGCTTAGCCTCGTTATTGCTTTCCTTTGCTGTGTCTTTGACCACCACATCAAAGCTGCGTATGTTATTATGGGTCTCACCACCATGTTATAAAGCCAGTATACCATGTCTGGTTTTAACCCCCATTTTTTTCCAAAGGATCGCCTTGCCATCATTAATGAGGTTTCCGCTCTCCTTGTGGTTCTTTCTAGATGCTGGTTCCAGGTAAGTCTCGAGTCAATCATAACCTTGAGATATTTTACCTGCCCCTTAAGCTGGATGCTTGCACCTCTTAGGTTTAGAGGCCCTAGTCCCTCCAATTTCCTCCTGCGGGTGAATGCAATTATGTCAGATTTGTTTGGGCTTATGTTTAGTCCTTCCGCCTCTGTTCATTTTGTTACTATATTAAGAGCCTCTTGCATTCGATCTCTTACTAAAGTATTGTATTTTCCCTGTGCCATGATCACTAGATCATCGGCATATCCCAGTGTTCTATGTCCCTTATCTTTGAGAGCCCTAAGCAGCCCGTCCACTACAAGGTTCTACAGGAGTGGAGACAGCACTCCACCCTGTGGACATCCTCTCGCTACCCGTGCCGCTGTTGTCTCTCCCATAAGGGTTGTGTGTATAGTTATCTCCCTTAACATAGAGTCCATCCAGGACACGCACGTGTCCTTGATTCCTCTGTGTTTAAGAGATATAATGATTGATTCAACGGAGGTATTGTCAAATGCACCCTCGATATCCAAGAATGCTCCCAGCATTACTTCCTTGTTTTCCAGTGTGTTCTTCACCCTTTTTATTAGTTAATGGAGAGCTATTTCAGTTGATTTCCCTGCACTATAGGCGTATTGGTCTTGGTATATTGGCCTTTGAACCAATATCCCGTCTCTAATATGCCTATGTAGCAGTTTTTTTAAAGTTTTAAGTACGAAGGACATAAGACTTATTGGACTTAGGGACTTTACCGTTTCCTGTCCCATTTTCCCAGGTTTTGGTTATACAGTACTAAACTAAGCAAATGTCTTGTTATAATGAGGGAAAAGGCTACGGGTACACTACTCCTGTCCTAGTCGAGGTATCAGTCACTGTACAGATTGATACCTTGATAGAACACTTACTTTTGGTGGCCAATATTAAGGACCATTATGTCCTTGGTATGGACATTATGCAAAATGTTTATCATCGACCTACAAAACAAGAGCTTGGTAATTGGAAATGAGTAAATTGTCCTAAATTCAAAGGAAAAGATTCAACCGAAAAAGGTCCTAGCGGAAGAAGATCTAGAAGTACCTCAACACTTTGAAGGTGTCTTCTTGGCAAGACTTAGCAGTTAACCTTACGGTTTACATGTGGGCTTTATGAAAAGTAAAAAATCTATGAGTGAAGAAATGCTAATATCTAAATGTCTCATTATCTGATTCCAGAAAGGGTTGCCAAATTATCTAAAAGATCATTTAGACTAAGGACAAAAATAGGGTTTCTTACAGTTGTAGAAAACATATTCAAGTTCGAAGAAGGTTCTACGGGGAAAGGCACAACAAGTTACCTAGTAGACTTTAGCTTTGGGAAACATCTAGTTAAAAATTGTGACAAAGAATGTATCAATACTAACTGTGACATTTTCGAAACAGGAAAATCTTTGCGGCGTACTAGTAGTATACAGAATAGATTTTACACAGGCGATGTAGAACCAATACGGTAAGCACCTAGAAGACTTCTGTTTGCTAAATAGAAAAAAGTAGCAAATATAATATAGGAATTAATGGACGCAAATATTATTAAAGAAGCTTCCGGTCGCTGGTGCTCAACTGTGGTCCAAGTAAGAAAAATGGATATACTCGTTTCTGTGTATAATATACAAGATAAATCAGATAACGTAAAAAGACAGCTAATCACTACCTCGAGCTGGTGCAAAATGGTTTTCCGAGCTAGAATTAAAGAATAAATACTGGCAAGTAAAAGTAAACATATTTTTTAACTGGCAAAAGATTAAACCGATTCCAGGTTCTCCCGTTTGGTCTCTGTAATGCTCCAGCTACCCTTCATTGATTAATGCAAATGGTTTTGAAAGGACTAA